ATGTCAGATCTTGTCTATTTTTTCTTTCTCAAGCTTAGGCTAACACCGTGTTCCCATATTAAGACCAGTGGGCCTAATGGAGAAAATGAATCCTGCTATTAAGGCTTAGTGCAACCAAAATAACAAATGTTGGCGAGGATGTGGAGAAAAGGGAACCTTCATGCTCTGTTGGTGGGAATGCAAGTTGGTGTGGTCACTCTGGAAAACAGTATGGAGGTTCCTCAAAAAATTAAAAATAGAATTACCATACAATCTAGCAATTCCACTTCTAGGTATTAATCTGAAGAAAACAAAAAGTAATTTGAAAAGACATATGTATCCTTATATTTACTGCAACGTTGTTTGCAAAAGCCAAGACAAGATATGGAAGCAGCCCAAGTGTCTATGGAGAGATGAATGGTTAAGAAGATGTGGTATATATATATATATAATGGAACGTTACTCAGCCATGAAAAAAGAATGAAATGTTGCCATTTACAATAGCATGGATAGACCTAATGGGTATTGTACAAATGAAATAAGTCAGGCAGAGAAAAACAAATACTATTCGATTTCACTTCTATAAATCTTAAGGGTGGAGTAGATTTAGAGGATGGACAAGATAGGTGAAGGGAATTATAAGGTGCAATCTTCTAGTTAGAAAATAAATAAGACATGAGATATAAGGCTCTGCATAGGGAATACAGTTAATAATATTGTGATCACTCTATATGGTGACAGATGATAACTAGATTTATTATGGTAACCATTTTATAATGTAAATGAGTATCAAATCATTATGTGGTATGCCTGAAACTGATACAATATTGTATGTCAATTATTCTTCAATTAAAAAAAAAAAGACTATTGCAGCTATTTGGACAATGAAACATTAAAGTCTGGATTTCAGGCAGTCTGGGTAGCTCAGCGGTTTAGCGCCACCTTCGGCCCAGGGCATGATCCTGGAGACCCAGGATCAAGTTCCACATTGGGCTCCCTGCATGGAGCCTGCTTCTCCCTCTGCCTGTGTCTCTACCTCTCTTTCTCTGTTTCTCATGAATAAATAATAAATAAATAAAATCTTTAAAAAAATAAAGTCTGTATTTCACACTTTTTATAACCTATAAAAGTAACTTCACCCCTTTGCCCCCATTCTCCTCTCCTTACCTTTACTCCTGATCTGACTATTCTCTAGATGTGTAAAAGAACTGTAATTAGGGGCATGGGTCAGATACATCCCACTCCCTGTTTTATTTTCCTTTGCTTAGAAAACCAGATATTTTCAGAAAGGTAAAATAAATAGGGCTGGTTCCAACCTCATTGTGAAATAGTTTGTTCATGATGAGCCTCTTCCCCTTGCATACAGTATTTTTCTTTGTGGCTACTCTTCCCCTAACTTTGAGACTTCCTTGGTTTATTGCCAGCCTTCTGTCCCTCCCTCTCCACAGCATCCCTCTTCTTCATTCAGCTTTCTCTGTTCTGTTGTTCTTGTCCATGACCCACAGTCAGTCTGTTCGTGGCCTCCATGCTGCTCATTGTCACTATAACTGAAACATCCCTGTTCTACAGCTCCTCATCCAAGGCTAACTTTGCGCTTTTAGGAGGCAATTTTACTTGGCACACTTATAATTGATCTGTAAGTATTTAAATAAATGGATAAGAATATGAATCAATAAACTGCTCCCTCATGGTACATCACTTAGCACCCATCCTGCGCCCACCCACCCAGGGTAAACGTGTTTTACCAGGGGCCTGAAGAAAACATCATGCCTTCCTTTGTAGCAGGATCAAATGAGGTGAGTCAGGAGAGGAGCCCCGTGACAGATGGCTGTTGGAGTATTATGTTAACCATGTGTTTCTGATGCCTTAACAACATCTGGGGCTTACTGACCCTAGAGAAATTGCTCTTCCTAAGGCTGGCCAGCTCCAATCAAGCCAGGGCCCATAGCCCAAAAACCTTCTTTAGCTAAGTTATCACTGGGCTCTCGCATTCTGATCCACTAACCACCTGCTCTAATCACTCCAGGGCCAGGTTCCAGACAACTAAGGACAGCTCCTATACTCCAGAGCCTGCTGAAATTGTTCAAAGTAGCCAATCTAAGCAGGCTAACCTGGTCTTGTCCGTTCTTTCAGGTAGAAAGCACAATAAATTTACATTTTTGTGTATATTTTGTTTATATTTTCCCCTTGCTCCTTCTGCCTCCTGACCAATCTTGGTGCTTCCCCATGGTATGACATGTTCCCTCCTCTTAAAAACTGTAACAAACTATCTTATCAATGTCTGTCTCCTCCTGATCTGTTGGCTTCACCAATGTCTGAGGGATAATAAAACCTACATGTTAAAATAGTTATTTCCAATTATTTCTCTAATCCCAAGTATGAGGCCTCCCATGCTGATTCTTTTACTTCTGAGGGAGGCCTCTCTTTTTCTAAACGTTCTGACAATTTGGAGAAATAACTATTAGCTGGAGAAGGCAGTGTAGTATTAAGTTAAAAAAATAAAAGTAATGACAGGCTTTACTTCATATGTATTATCAACCTAGGATCTCAAAAGTCCTGTGAATTATTTTATTATGCTAAATGAACTGAAATTTAAAGAGTGTTTTCCAAGGTCCCAGAGCCACATACACAAAGAAATGAGACGCAAACACAAATTTTCCTGGCGCTTCTCTGAATCATGCTCTGTTTCTACTAATTCTATCAAAGTCTTCCAAATCCCCCGATATCTTTTACAAAGTTTGTTGTGTAACATCACCACTTCCTTCATACTTTAAAGAAAGTATGGAAATTTCTTCATACTTTAAAGAGTGAGTCCATAATGAAAAGTAGCTAAGATTTATCTAGATTCTTCAACAACAACATGGCCTTGGAGAAATGAATGTAGAGTCTTAGGAATATATTACCCAAAGATAGAGAAGATCTAGAAATTAAAGAACTTTACAATACTAAGTCTGATATCTAGTGAATGACTGAGAAACTTTAGAAATCTCTTCTTTCTGAAAGAGTTCCATTCTTTGGTCATGAGTCATCAGAGCGACAAAGAACAGATTGGCTGTGAAGAAGACAGGCAAAAATATCTTGCAGTTTTGGGGAACCAGAAATTGAAGGAAAACTCAATTCAATAGTAGAGATGAAAATAAGCATAAAAAGGCAATATATAATAAAATTGCTACCAAATGTCATCAAGCAGCAAAATGCACAATAAAGATGTGGTCAGTGTCGACCGCAGTTATTGGAGGAAACACTTCAAGTGAAATATTTGACAAGTTAACCCAACATGGAACAAAATATATCTCATGGGAATTTATCTTTTAACGTTTACCAAATTTGTTCAGTGGTTTGGAATTCTCTATTTTAAGAAAAAAAAAAGAGGGAAACTTGAGAAAGAGGAAAGAGAGAAAGACAATAAAGCTATTCAAGTGACCTGGAGATAAAACACATTGCCTGAAGAATTGGACTGTAGGTATGGAGAAAAGAAGACTGGATAAGGAGGTTAAGAGCAACCAGCAAGAATTGGAGGTGCCACTTGGAGATGGTGATTGGCAGCTGTTAAGAATTTCCATGGACTGTAGGTAAGAAGAAACGAGTTTGTGTGGCCAGAGGACCTCAGCTGGATATCAGGAAGAATTTCCTGACTGGAAATGTCAAGAGTTCTGGTTTACAGGATCAAAGGGAGGCTTCTGGGATGTGCCTACCCTAGGAATATTTTTTAGCCTCAAGCAAGAGACTGGGTGGTTTCCTGCAGCCCCGAGGATGGACTGGATGGCCTCCTCACAATCCATCAGTCTCATGTTGCTGAGAGGCGTGCCATTCACACTGCTGCTTTCCTAGTGTCTTTGCCAGCTGCCCACTCCCAGCTCAGAGGCTGTGGAGTGTTCCCCACAGAGAGAAACAACTAAGTCTTTCACTCCCTGTTCCTCACTTGGGCCAGTCCTTGAGGTGTACACTGTGGTTTTTCAGCTCTTCAGCACTTAGGCCCTTTCCTTCTGAGCCAAGGGCTTCCTGGGAACAATGTAGCATCTGTGTGTTGACAGTAACAGTCTAGGGGCCAGAGACACTTTACCAAACTCCCTCTGTTTCACATAAACTGGATTGCATACCCCGCCTACAGTAATCTGCACCTATTAGCCCCAGCACCAGGTGGACCCCTCCTTACCTATTCCCCAACCTTTTACCTAATTTGATTCCTAGCTTTTTTTGTCACATTTATGCCGATCCTCATGCAGGATGGTCTCTACCACCTCCCATCCCACCCATAGAGTTAACAATAACACATTAGTGGCTCGTGGCCTGACACTAAACAGTGGGCACCGAAGGGTGAGGTACCTACTGCTTATTTGGGCATCTGGGTATTTATAAAAGGTTTGGCCTGCAAAGAGATGCCAGCCTTTTCCTATAACATTATTGCTTTTTATTTATTGTGTGGTTGTTGATTTACATAGGAGTTAGGAACGCAAAACAAGCATAGTTTTTACATAGTCTGTTTCTGCTGAGTTTAGAGACTTGGAAACATCATTTGACTGGCAAAAAGACAATTCCAGAAAGGTGTCTCAAACCTTCCCTTTATTCCTGACTGAGTTAGAGAGGGACACGTGCTTGTGAAGAAAGTAGAGTTTCAACTCTTCAGGACTAGAAAAGAGCAGAAATTATGTTGCATGGGAGTCCTGTGGAATGTACAGATTCAATAGGAAATGACAAATCAAAACAACCTCTCTCCCTTCAAAGAGATCACAGAATTTCTCTTTATGGCTCCATTGAGCGGCGTGTATTGCAGTGTATGGGGCTACGCAGTATGACTGTATAGAAGATTGGATGGGTAGTAAGAGTGTAGACCATTTAAAAGAAAGGATAAGGAGAGTAAATGAGATTTTAAGGAACAAAGTGGAGAGCTGTGTGTGTGTGTGTGTGTGTGTGTGTGTGTGTATAAGGCCTGGTGATCCTGTTTACTGTCTCTGAGATTTCAGTTGCCTTTTTTACATTTCATGTAAATACTTAGTAGTATGTAGAAATATCAGGAGAAATCAGAGTTCAACCTTTGGAGTTTTTTCTTCCGATTCATGGTTTTCTTTCTGAAAAACATCATGACACTGTTACTTAGATTTGGAACCCACTCTTGGTTTTGAGCTCTGAGATTAGCAAACAGCTATTTAATTACTCCTGGAAGTCCTAAACCCATTCTTAATTTTTATTTCATGAACTCTTATATATAGGAATTTGGTTTGTTTCCCATTAATAATGTAAACAGAATGGTAAAATCCCAAATTCAGTTCCTTTGAATATGCAAGACATTTCCAAAGTTGCCCGTGTAGTTCTATTCTCACGACTCTATCCTAAGAAGCATTCTTTTTTTTTTAATAATAAATTTATTTTTATAGAAAGCCACCTTCCAATGGGGAGGCGTTGCTAGGCTTTATCATTGAAATCAATCTAAACATTTCTAATATTGTTAAGAGACACACATTATTATTTGATGGCCATTTTAACAATAGTATCATACTTTTAAAATTCATTCTATTTTTTTTATTGGAGTTCAATTTGCCAACATATAGCATAACACCCAGTGCTCATCCCGTCAAGTGCTCCCTCAGTGCCCGTCACCCATTCACCCCCACCCCCCGCCCTCCTCCCCTTCCACCACCCCTAGTTCGTTTCCCAGAGTTAGGAGTCTTCCATGTTCTGTCTCCCTTTCTTATATTTCCTACCCATTTCTTCTCCCTTCCCTTCTATTCCCTTTCACTATTATTTATATTCCCCAAATGAATGAGACCATATAATGTTTGTCCTCCGATTGACTTATTTCACTCAGCATAATACCCTCCAGTTCCATCCATGTCGAAGCAAATGGTGGGTATTTGTCATTACCTAAGAAGCATTCTGATCCTCTCTACCATACCCTTGTGAACTTTTGTTCTTAATCAAATCCAGGAGAGCTGAAAGAATTTTTATTCAACAGGACATAGAGAGGAAAACTCAACTTGTTATACTGGAGGCTCCTACTTACCAGCCGTTTCCCTTTTAGGAATCCATCACAAAAGTTTTGCACATGCTCCACAGAAACTTCTGCCATGGGCAGTGTATCCCACTCTTCATCCACAGTACGGTAAATTGCCAAAGCAGGCAGTTGAGACTTTTTTAGTTTGAAAAATGAGATCACCTTCCCATTTGCCTCCACGCCACTGTCCACCAGAACAAAAAGAATCTGCAGTTGGAGAGGTTTGAAAGGGAAAAAAAAAATCTATCTGAGGTCCAGAGGAGAAAGAGACGTCTCATAATTGTTGCAGTTTACACTAATTAACTTGTGGTCTGTGCCATATAATATAATGAATTTCTTATTTTTCTCTGCTTTGGTATTTTATCCCTTTTCATCAGATTTAAGATTAAGAACACAGAATTAGAAATAACTTTAGTGATTAGTTAAATAAACAAGTATGGCCTAATGGTTAAAAGCAGATAGTACATTCTACATTTTGTTTCTGGTACTTTCTAGCTGTGTGACTTTGGCACATTACTCAGCCTCTCTGAGGCTCAATATTCTCATTGGCAAAATAGGCTTTTGCCCGGAAAGATTAAATGAGCGGATCCATTTAATATGTCCAGTACAGTTTTTGGCATATGGTAAATGCTTGATAAATGTCGATTATTTTATATTATTAAATCAAACCTTCTACTCAAAGTAGAAACCTTTATAATGTTCTTGTTAGGGGATCATTTAGATTCAGAAATTTTGAAAACATCCAGTGTTAAGGAAATAGCCGCCCGAAAGCTGGCTTATGTTATTACCAGACAATTTCAACATCGAAAAGGTCTAGTTTAATGCAGTAGCGTTGAAGTGGTTGGAGTTTTATTATTTCAGTGATACCAAACAGAGCTGCATGAAGTAGAGAAGGGACAGGACTAAATATTTATTGGACATCTAGTAGGCACCAGGTATGTGAGAGTTACTTTATATAAGAAGTAAGTCCTGAGTCTAAAATTCTAAGAGGTTATGGCAAGGACTAATTAAATTGTGACTAATAGGGGATTTTTATTTTCAACATCTTTGGATCTCTATTTTTCTCTCCACTTCTTAATGTAGAAAAAAAATGAAATAGACTTCCAGCCAAGGGAAGATATGGTTATACAGGACTTTAATAGTATAAAATACAGCATCTTTAATTTTAAATCAGAGTAATGTGATTTATTAGGTCCTAGTTCTTACTTTGTTATCTCTTAACCTTTTTTTTTCAGATCTTATTTCTTATTTTTTATTTATTTATGTTTTCAAGAATGTTTTTGTAATAATAAATTTATTTTTTATTGGTGTTCAATTTGCCAACATACAGAATAACACCCAGTGCTCATCCCGTCAAGTGTCCCCCTCAGTGCCCGTCACCCATTCACCCCCACCCCCCACCCTCCTCCCCTTCCACCCCTAGTTCGTTTCCCAGACTTAGGAGTCTTCATGTTCTGTCTCCCTTTCTGATATTTCCTACCCTTCCCTTGTATTCCCTTTTGTTATCTCTTAACCTTACTCATTTTCCTTATTTACCTAATCTCCCTGGATCTATCTGCCTGTTTTTAGTGACCTGCTACTGAGTATTCAAAAGAGTATCTCCCATTTCAGACTTACTTTCCCCTGGAAGAGCTTGGCTGCCTTCTGGTATCTGGACATGCTTTCTTCATACTCTGGAGAGGCCTTGTTCATCATCAGTAGAAGATGAATCTGGATCATGCTATTAAATAGGCCAATCACAGTCTGGCAAATTGAAGTATTTCATAGTAGAATGAAAGAGACAAGGAGCAAAACAAAACAAAACAAAACAAAACAAACAAAAAGCCCCATTAGTGGCAACACAGTAAATAAATAGGCTTAAATATGAATGAGAACTGTCCATCCATAACATAAATGGTAACTAGCCTTCAGTTTGACCCTCAATAAGTCTCACCCTTGGGCTGTCATGAAACTGTGTAGATCCCTATTGCCCACACTAGATAACGGTGAGCCGAGTAGCCACTGGGATATTGCAGAAATGATGGAGTGTGACTTCCAAGATGAAGTCATAAATGACATAGTGGCTTATGCTTGGTCTCTTCTGTCACTCACTCTGGGGAAAGCCAGTCCCAGTGTTGGACACTCATGCAGCCTTATGAAGAGATTCACACAGCTCTATGCTCAGTATAGAGTCTGCTTAAGACTCTTTCGTCCTCTCTCTCTGCCTCGGTCCCCCCCATCAAATAAATAAAAAATCTTAAAAAAAAAGAGTATACAAACAGCCTAATACATGATTGTGAGTTTCTGCTTCCTTGTTGTCACTGGTGCAAACCTCTGCATCAGCAGCAGGTGAGACATAACTATAGTTGTGGGGGCGGGTCTCCAAATGGGAAAAATATCACTTTTGGGAAACAGAAAGGTCACAATGAGAGTTAAACTTGCTTCTCTAAAGTTATTCTTACCTAATTTCTTCTTGGTGCGATCTACCTTCACTACTAATGTGGAACTTAAAAATTGTGTCAGTATTTTGTAAGAAAAGGGATTGCCCAGGCCTAGAATTCAGGAAGACCAATCCTTGTCCCTGCCTGCATTAACCTGAAGAACTCCAGGACCCTAGGTACACGAAATAGGGACTCTAAGATCATCTTTTCTGCTCCCACATGCGCTCCTGACCTCTATAGACATAATCATGAGAATGATGATGGCCTAGGAAAAAGATGCCTTTTTGATTATTGCTGCTGCCACCCACCCCTGGGGTGCATGTGTTTGGAATCTTTGTAAGAGTGGAAATGGAGTCACCACTCCACGAAGACAAACGTGGTGTGAGAGGTGGACAGGAATTTAGTCAACAGGAAAAAGGGTGTTTCCTATTGAAGCCTGAGTGGGGCAATAGAAAAACCACAAGATTCAGTCAGACAGACTAGTCATGAAAAAAGCAGGGACAAGTGCAGAGGGCTGTTTCTGAGGCTCAAATTGCTAGGCATATGGCCTTGAGGAAGTTACTCCACTTTTCTGAACCCTCTTTTCTCCTGCAAAATGGAAATAGACAGTGAACGAATGCTTCAGCAGTAAACTTCCTGCCTTCTACTCTGCCTTTCCTGCTTTATATGGGATCCTAGATAAGTCACTTGGATCTTAAATGTGCTCCTCTATAAAATGGGCATAATACTTTTCTCTCTCCTACCTCAAAAAATCAACGTGAAGATTAAATGAGAAAATGGGTGTGAAATGACTTGGTGAGTTCTAAAAATCAAGATGTGCATCTAAAGTCATGTTATTAGAGAATGCAGAGCATTTCTGACCTGAGGAAATCACTGGAAATTAATACTCTATCACTTTATGATCTACATCAGGGAAAATAAAAGGGTATAGAAGGCACTTGTAGAAGCTGTAGAGTGTTAGAAGATTATCAGAACAGGTGGATCAGCACCTTCACTCGGGTTGCATGCAGCATGCAACACCAAAAGGAGACAAATCCAGAAAGAAAGCGGATTACTGCGAGGGTCTAGGCATGTGCAGGGGAAGCCAGACCAGTAATTGTTGGTTACTGGTCCATAAGGAGGTAGGGAGAAGTTTTAAAAATGTTATAGAAATTTTGCTTAGCTGTAACATCCAAATATGTGATCAGTGGGCCTTTAAAAATTTTTTTTTCCATTTGTCTGTTAATTTACTTTCCTTGTATTTTGCAAAAGTATTGGTCACTAATGCTTTTGGGGAAAAAATGGACTCCGGCTAAGATTGTGGTTTTGTTTGAAAAGTGTGGTTTAGAGGGTGGCTCAGATGAGTTGCCTATAGTGAACGGTTTCAGGCAGCAAAACTCAGAAGTTTTTGACTCACTCATCTTTGACTTGCATTCTGGCTCTTTTTCTTACTAGTCATCTGATGGGTATTTAAGAGCTCTCTTTCTTTCTTTCTTTTTTTTTTTTAAGATTTATTTATTTATTTGAGAGAAAGATCACGAGAGGGAGAGGCAGAGAGAGGAGAGAGAATCCAAAGCAGACTCCATGCACTATGTGGGGCCCAATTCCATGACCCATGACATCATAACCTGAGTTGAAACCAAGAGTTGGATATTCAGCTGACTGAACCACCCAAGCCCCACTGATGGATATTTAAATTCTCTGTTTTTTTTTTTTCCTGAATAGGGACAAACATCAAATTTAAAGGGTTGTAGTAAGGATAGCAAAATAAATGACAATAATGGCAGCTGCTGTTATTAATGGTTAAGGTTAGAATTCCTAGATGAAGGGATCTCTGCTATAGAGACAAGTACCCTCCCTGACACAGGGCTTAAGGGTCTGGAGACAAGGACTATTGTTTACCGCAGGGTTGTACTCTGTCACCAGGTGGAGACTGTTGATCTCAATGAAACGGCTTAATTTGGTGGCATCAATGCTTTCAATGTATTTGCTCTCTAAATCCAGTTTTTTGTTGTCCACCTGGGTAACACAAAAAGGATAAAATTGTCACTATTCTGTTTTTATTCATTCATTGATAAATGTTTCTGGACTATCTACCACATATCAGGCATTGACTAAAGCTCAAAAGACATAAAGGTAAGTAGGAAATATTCTCTGCTTTCGAGGAACACACTGTCTGGTGAGATACAAAGAAGTTAACAGAAATGTCATCACCGGCCCATATACCACCTAAAGGAAGAGCAGGAAAGCTTCCAGGAAGAAGCAACTCTTGAAAAGTAGCTAGAACTTGGTCAAGTGAATGAGGATGGGGAGGAAATTATAAAAAAAACAAACAAACAGTATTTGCAAAAGGCAAAAAGATGAGAGATGTCATGCTCTGGTAGCTGCATTTAGTTTGCCATGACTATAACAGTAGATGTTAAGTGTGAGTAGGAGAGAGACAGGTTAGTGGGGTAGGCTGGGGCAAACTTCCAAAGGACCTTGAAGCTGAAGTGAATAGATTAAACTCTAACCTGAAGGCAAGAGGATCATTTACATAATCAGATTTATGTGTATATATATGTACCCTTTAATGTGAAATAATACATATAGAGAAAAGCATGAAATGGAGAATATAAAATTCAGTTTTTTCACTTTATAATGGATGCTTAGATTCTTGATTTTTATCGTTATCCTTTTCTAAAATATATGTTAAAATCTATGCATTTCCCCCTTTCAGGGCTATAAATGCATCCATAAATTTTATATGTAGATTTCATTATCATTCAGTCCAAAATGTTTTCCAATTTCTGTTCTTATTTCTTCTCTAACCTATTGGCTATTTAGAAGTGTGCTTTTTTAAATTCTAGCTTAATTTCTACATTTTATTATTGTTATTCTAGCTTAATTTCTACATTTTACTATATCATTTGTCCACTCCTATATATGCTACATATGTCCTTTAAATCATGTATATTCTGCAGTTTTCAAATACAGTATTCTGAATATACTAACAGCTCACTTGGTTAATTTCGTAGTTCAGATTTTCTATATTTTTACTGATTTGTTTAACCAATTTATTCTACCAAGAGAGTAGTATTAAAATCTCCCACCATGATTGTGAATTTAATCATTTTTTCTTACAATTCTGTCAGTTTCTGCTTATATATTCTCAGGCCATGTATTAGATGAATGCGAATTTAGAATTGTTACATATCTGGCCAAGTTGAAACATGTATCATTATGAAACATCATTCCTTTACTTATTTATTTTTTTAAAAGATTTTATTTATTCATGAGAGACACACACAGAGAGAGAGGCAGAGAAATAGGTAGAGAGAGAAGCAGGATCCCTGCGGGGAGCCCGGTGTGGGACTTAGTCCCAGGACCCCGGGATCACGCCCTGAGTCCCATGAAACATCATTCTTTATCTCTAGGTATTCTTGTTGCCTAAAAGACGACTTTGTCTGACATTAATATGCCTAAATCAGCTTTCTTTTGGAAGTATTTGTATGGTATAGCTCTATCCATTTACTTTTTTTTTCTTTAGGTAGGAATTCCTTCTTTAAAAATTTTTAATTTAATTTTTGGTTAACATACAGTGCAATATATGTTTCAGGAGTAGAATTCAGTGATTCATCACTCACATATAATATCCAGGGCTCATCACAAGTGGCCTCCTTAACACCCATCACCTATTTAGCCCATTCCCCACCCATCTCCCTCCACCAACCCTCTGTTTGTTCTCTATCACTAAGACTCTCTAATGGTTTGTTTCCTTCTCTCTTTCTCTTTTTTCCCCTCCTTTTTCTTCCTTCCCATATGTTCATATGTTTTGTTTCCTAAATTCCACAAATAGTGAAGTCATATGGTTTGTCTTTCTCTGTCTGACTTATTTTGCTTAGCATAATATATTTAACTCCTTCCACGTCATTGCAAATGACAAGATTTCATTCTTTTTGAGGCTGAGTAATATTCTACAGTGTGTGTGTGTGTGTGTGTGTGTGTGTGTGTGTATCACATCTCCTTTATTCATTCATCAGTCCATGGACATTTGGGCTCTCTCCATATGGCTACGGTTGATAATACTGCTATAAACATCAGGGTGCATGTACTCCTTCAAGTCTGTAGTTTTGCATCCTTTGTGTGTATACCTAGTAGTACAATTGCTGGATCATAGAGTATGTCCTTTTACTTTTAACCTATATTTATACATTACATATATCCCTATGTTTTAAAATGATGTCTTTGGTAAAAAAGCACAGAGTTGTATTTTTTAATATAGTCTGCTATTTTTGTCTGCTATATTATTTTTATATAATGTAATGTATTTTTATATAATATAATGTAATATAAAGTAATCATGAATACATTTAATCCCATATGCATTGCACTTGTTACTGGTTCTGACTGTTCCAAATCCCACTTTCTTTCATTTTGGGATTACTTTCGATTGATTGAGCACTTTATATTATTCCTTCCTTCCCTTGATTGGCTTAGAAGTTACATGTGCTATAATCACTCTCTTGAGGATTACCAAGCATGCATTATACAACATGCATTCTTTAGTTATCCAAATCTAACCTAGTCTGGCAGTTTTGTCTCTTCTTGGATAATGCAGGCATTAGTTTTCCTCTTTCCAACTCTATTCCTTGACCCCACACTGAAGACTTACAGGTGATCATTATTGTGTATTTTAATTCTAAATCTCACAAGATATTATTGATATATAGTCAATATACATTCACGTTTATACAATTTTAGTTTCTTTTCATTTCTTCCTGCACTTATGAGCTTCCATCTGGGATGTTTTGCCCTCTGCCCAGAGAACACATTTTAGTATGAGTAAGACCTGTTGGGTGACATAGTCTCTCAGTTTGGTTGCTTAAAATATCTTTATTTCAGCTTTATTTTTGAAGGCTATTTTTGCTGGAGGTAGAATCCTAAGGTTACTGTTATTTTCTTTCAGTTTTTACAGGACATAATTCTTTATATGTAACATTCCAGTCTGTAGAAAGTCACTGAGAAGTCATCTATGAAATTAGCCCTTTGAGATTACTTTGAGGGAAATCTCTTCTCTGATTTAAAATTGTTGTCTTTTTCTTTGAGTTTCAGCTATTATATTGTGGCATGGCTAAGGGTAGATTATATAAATGATACATGTGTGTAATTAAGTATGTGTAGAGGTATATGTGTGTTTGTATGCATGCATGCATGGGTGTATATATACTTATATATCCACATAGGATCACCTTAATCCCATTTCAGGGACTGAAATGATTTAAATCTGTTGCAGCCTTTGGGAGGGCTGATATACTTATTGTACATCCTTGTTTTTAGGGTACTGCTCTTTAGGGTCAAAGTGGGGCAAAGGGTGTTTTACTAAATCTGCTTTGTACTTCTGCTTCTGGGCCCTGGATTTCAACATTTACTTTTCTGGCTCCTTGAGGTTCTCAAAAAAGATAATAAACTTCTCAGCCTCTTGACTTCTTCAAGAACTGGCAGGAAAAGCCACTCAGACAAAAAAAAGTCCCAATGAAGGGTTTTCTTTTTGGATTTTCTTCTTCCTCTAGATCTTAGTCTAGAAATTTCTCCCTCTTTTACTACTTCTCCAAGCTCCACCCCTCCACCCCCTTTTCTGCTCACCTGGCTTTTAAAATAAATTATTTTTGACAGAAGGGCTATCTAGTTACCTAGTCCAGTTTCCCATATTTGCATTTTAAAGCTGCCTTTCCACCATACTCAGATATATTAAAAGATAAGACTTCATACTGTCAATCATTGTCCCAGGGTTTTCCATCCTCCTCCCCCAATCTACTCATGCCCATAGAGGCAGAGGATAATGCTTCTAACACCGATGGCAACTATGCCTACAGACAAATGCTAGCTCCTGAAGGGTTACGTTTCCTTAAATACCTTGAATCTTCGAATCACTTTTGAGATGCTTGGGCCACTACTCCTTGGACATCTCAACCCCTTTACCTTACATTTGCTATCTCATATAGGTCCTACCCAATCCAATCTTGCCCTGGATCAGAACCATCTTTTTGCCCCTTGGATACTTTCTCCCAGTATACCCAGCAAAGTCAGAGTTATGTCTCATTGTAGTTTATGCAGGAGGGAATTCAGGCAAATATAAAGTCTCTAAACAGTAGGAATCTAAGATTGTTCATTATTGTCATTTCCATGGTGACTCCCATTGCCTATTTTTCTCCTCTTTTTTTCAAGGTGGTCTCCCATTGGGTTAGTTGAAAGCAATATGCACCTTTAAGAAGCCCATGGTTCTCTATGGTTAATATTGTTAATTCTAGAATACCCAGTCATTCTCTTCTAATACCTTTGCAAATGAATTGTTTTTTGAGTGCCTGCAGTATGTTAGGCGCTGAGGCACAGGAATGCCTGACATTCCTTCAGATAGCAATTTAATCACTTTATTTTATGACTGTTTTTCACAACTCAAATTTATAAAACAGATACATGCAGAGGTACAAAGAAATGTATTTCAAAATAAGAATTTTGAAAAAAAATCGTCAAAACCATAGGATATTTTAAACTGTGAACTCCCTTTGTATATTTAGTTGTTTCAATATTCACAAATTCTGAGCAGAAGGCTTGAGGCAGAAATATCAAAGCAAGAGAAAAAGTCTTTCTAGAGGGGAGTCCTTACTGGGCCCCTCCCACCCACCTCTCCAAGTCAGTAAGAGTCAGGAGAAAAAGAAAATGAGCCCACAGGCTCTTTGCTGTTGCTTAAAGAATGCTTTGCCAGCTGGCATGTCTCCTTCACACTTAAGGCTTTGCTAATTGCAAACATCAAAATCATCAGTATTATAATCACAACCGGGGCCCTTTTAATATTTCATGTGTCTAAATACTTCCTGATTATTTGTCTAGGAACTTGCAGGCCTGGTGGCCACGCCTCAGCTAACAGAGATGTGCTGTGGCCAGGAGCCCCTCCCTCTCTGCTCATCCAGGCAGTCCCTCACCATTTCCCAGAACAGGGAGAACAGGAAGCCCAGTTACTCCAGGTGTTTCTGGACTTAAGGAATGCAGTATGTTGGAGGCAGAGGATGTTAAGTGGTGATAACATTCTCTAAGTAGCAAAGAGTTTTAATAAAAACCACTCTCCTGAAGTCTCTCCAGTTTGTAGTGCTTCTTTTAACGAAACATGGTGGATTGGTTCACTATTTCTTGAACTAATAAACTCTGGAACATTCATATGTAGCATTCCTGGAAATATTTGAACAGGAAATCTCCCTTCTGTAAAGGGAATTATTTGCATAATGCACTGGGCAGAAAATAACCCTGAAACCAAGAGTTGGGGAAAAAAATTTTATATATATATATTTTTCCAGTTTTTGGAAAGAATTTTACTAGAGATATCATACCATTTTTCTCCCCCCAAAAAAAGGCACCAGAAGAAAAACAGAAACAGAAAGGCAACCAGGATTGCCACCTTACAATATAATTTTGAGTCTTCCCAAGAGTATTTGAAGTGGATGATTTTGTTTTATGATTTTTGTATCATACCAAGAGATTAGTTTTTCCCTGTAGATTAAGACTTCAGCAATATTTCTTTGAATTCCTATGTGTCTCTCTAATTAAGAACCCAGTTTTTCATAAAGCGTATTAAAGTTGTCTTAGTTTACCCCACAGTTACAGTATTAAATGTCCTGACTAGCCCTGAGAACTCATTTGTTAAACAAATATCCTCATGTCCCTGGGTTTGTTTTTATAAACTCCCTAGCTTGCCATATATTTGGTAAATATATACTTTAGAAAAAATACCTAATAATTTGACATATCTTCCTTCTTGCATTTATTAATTTTTATGCACTAGTTCCTTTTGATTCCCTTTGTTTGGTAAGGTGCATTCCTTATAATAGGAACCCAGCACACAACTGTCCAAGGAATGAAAGAATGCCTTCACTGTGTTTCCATTACTGTCCTACTGGGTCAAAGTTAGGCTAATTATATTTCTTAAAATAGAGGTGATTGAGGAAAACCAAAGCAGGACAAACATTCAAATAATATCTGAAATTCCATTTTAGAACAGGCTTATGGTTTATTCAACCTAGGATTATATCTCCATTAGGGAAACAACAAGAGTGCTGTCAGAGAGTGTAGAGGGTCTCCTTGCAGGCACACTCAAAAAAGACAAGCTGTCATACACACCAAACAAGTTGTCATATACAACTTATTGTTTCACTTACTTAAATTCATCCTCATCACATTTATATAGTTGGCCTGCACTATTTTTGGAGGGAGATGTGCTCCATGAATATAGCATTTGCTGGCTTCTTGTTGCGCCAGCATTTCAAAGCATCCAGTAATGTCAACTCATTACAGACTTGCTATTTCTCCACTTATTATTCCAGCTTATCTCTAAATATGTTCTTACAATAGAAAATTCTCTATGTCTAAATTTTGAGGTTTCTTTGCCAAAATACGATTAAGTCTTGAGTAATAATCCTAGGGTTTGATTAAGTAGTGCCAGGGGGATAGATAAATGTTTTAAAAGGTTAAAATAAGTAGACTTGAGAATGAAGGGCATTAGAGTAGATTGAACTAGGAGTAAAAACAAAGATTTTTGGCAGGGTTAAGTAATTTAGAAAGTCACTATAGTAATATAAAAATGGAATGTTTTAGAGACAGCAATGTGTGTGAAGCAGACATCAGTTATTCTATAGTTGTGAAACTATAGAATATGGAGCTGTAGTGTTCTTACTGATAATAAGCATTATTTCATCAGATTCTTGTGAGAATTAAATGGTAGAACACGAAAAACACCTAACAGTGTCTATCATAAATTAGGCACTAAAAACAAACAACCAAACAAACAAGCAAACAGAATGAACTATACATTTAAGATGAGGGTAGATAGATACCCAAAATTTTGCAACAGGTTCACATTTCTCAATTTAAAAAAGAATAGTCTTGGATGATGTTCTTTAAAGAAAAGAAAAGAAAAAGGGGATCCCTGGGTGGCGCAGCGGTTTAGCGCCTGCCTTTGGCCCAGGGCGCGATCCTGGAGACCCGGGATTGAATCCCACATCGGGCTCCCAGTGCATGGAGCCTGCTTCTGCCTCTGCCTGTGTCTCTGCCTCTCTCTCTCTCTCTCTCTCTCTCTCGTTGTGACTATCATAAATAAATAAAAAATTAAAATAAAAGAATAATATTATCTTATGTGAAGATTAAATTACATCATGCTCAAAAAATTTTTCCTATCATTCTGGGAATGTTTTAGGTGCTCAGTAAAACCTGGCTACCATCTTCATTATTATCCCTTTCTTCCCTTCTGGGAGCACAGATCCTGGAATGAGCATGTTGGCCTCAGGGCACTCAGGCACCCTGTGCATCTGCACTGCTTTCTCTTTGTGCCACCTGAGGCCAGGAGTCAACTACTACAGCAGCAGAAGGGTTTCTCATGAGGTTCCCAGATTCTGCAAGCACCGCATCTTCCTCTGCAGAATTCTCCTGTTGTCTGTGTTCACGTGCTCCTGCAGGGGCCACGCGAGGGCCAGAGCCCCACACCCACCTGCCCAGTATCCCCAAGGCAGAGTCCAGCCCTGCAAACAGCAGCATGAAGCCCAGGCCCCCTGTTGGGTCAACTGGTGAGGCTGGCCTTGGGCCCTCCAGAGATTTCAGATGTGTACACTTGGATTTACACACCGAGACCAAGTCCAGATCCCATCATTCTGACCACGGGTGCAGCCTTTCTGTGCCACCTTCCCAGTGTGACAGCATCAGGTGACCATTAAAACTTGGGGACTCGGGCAGCCCGTGGCTCAGCAGTTCAGCGCCGCCTTCGGAGACCCGGGATCGAGTCCCACGTCGGACTCGCTGCATGGAGCCTGCTTCTCCCTCAGCCTGTGATTCTGCCTCTCTTTCTGCCCGTGTCTCTCATGAATAAATAAATAAAATCTTTAAAAAAAAAAAGCTTAGGGACTCTGGGACCACCTTGCTTGGCTCACCCAGGCCTTTCTTGACCATAACTCAGACGGATACTGGTTTACTTCCAAGCCTGTACAAGACTAGAATGTGGCTCTCCACCCGGATTTTGCAAACAATTAACATTTACTGAGAGAAGACCTGCTGGTGTTCAGCTGCCCTGTTTTTCCTGTCTGCATACCTTTTCTTTTCAGTGCAACCTTATTTCCCCAAAGCTGATTATGACTATTTCTAATATAACATTTGAACTTGAGCATACGAATTGGTATTTATCAGATTTACTTCTCACCACTTTGTTTTGAGATACCAGGCGCATAGATGAGATGCCGTCTGAGATCGGAGAGCTTGCTTTCTGCAAGGGCAATGAGACAAGTAGATATGCTGGGGAATGTGGCCTTTGAGCAAGACACTTTGGTTCAGGGACAGGCATACTGGGAAGGGTGACCTGCACAAGCACAGGTGAGAAGGTGAGAGGAGCACGGGTGGTCCAAGAAATGTTTGAGGGGGCACAATGGGAGCCAATGCTGGACAGATGCACAGAGCCAGCCCTAGAAGGGCCTCAGCCACTACAGAGGCTCCCCGTCCAGCCGCGAGCTGGGGTCACAAGGCGTGAACATGAGACTGTGGCAAAAGCTCTCTGCACACAGTCTCATGCTGGTGACTGTATTACTGTCCTTTCAGGCTCTCCCCAGCATGCTTGGTGACTTGGAGCCTCCCTCCCTGGTGTCCACTGTGAGCAGACACCATGACCATCTTCTTGGGGTGGGGGTGGGAGATGCAGGCTCCAGAAAGACAATCTCAGCTTGGTCATCACTGCACTCTGACATGCCAGCAGAGATAGGCTCTAGCAGGAAAAATAAGACCCAACCACAGAATTCTTTGAATCCAGAGAGTGTCAAGGGCTGTAGAGAGCACAGCATGGTGCTGGGTCCCTGAAACTTATTTCTGATCATATGCAGTGCTCATTAGAAGCCAAGAGTGAAGCTCCTGCCCACTGTTGTTGGGGCACACCCCTAACCCTGGCCCCTGAGACCTGAGCAAGCCAAATGGAGGCCAGTGTGAGGCGGAGCCTCTGGGTGTCTGTTTGGACTTTGAAGAGAGATTGGAGGAGCACCTGGGTAGCTCAGTCCATTAAGCATCTGCCTTCAGCTCAGGCCATGGTCCTGGAGTCCTGGGATTGAGCCCCATGTCAGGCCCACTCCTCAGCGAAGCGTCTGCTTCTCCCTCTCCCTCTGCCCCTTCCCCTGCTCATCTCTCTCTCTCTCTCAAATAAATAAATAAAATCTTAAGAGAGAGAGAGAGAGAGAGAGAGAGAGAGAGAGACTGGAGCTGATAGGCAAAAGGACCAGCAGGTGACATCTGACAACACTCAAAGGGCTCAAATTATTCATTCAGGGGTGATCCTAATAGCTCTGGCCTGGACTCTGACTCTCCTGACCCTAGGTAACTCTTTCCCTCCCCTAGCCGCTTCTTCACAAAACACAAGGGAGGAAGAAGGGAGGCTCCCAACCTTGAGAGGGGGGCCCACTTGGGACCCAACTGACAGCTCTCACTCATTCTTAGGACCACTCAGGTGTGAGCTCATCTGATCTTCTGTGTGTCAGGGACAAAATAAAAAAGAGGCCAAAGTAATAGTACTCCCAGCCTTTTCCCCCTCTTCCTATCTGTTCTGGGTTCTTCCTTTGCTCCTGCGTCTTGACTGGGCTGAAAGGAATGTGAATCTCCCTTGTGAGGCATCCTTGTCTCCTGGTGTTTGCTCCCACAGAGGGTGGTTGTGCAGGGTAAAGCAGATGATGACAAAAAGCAGCTAGTGCCTGCCTGGTGAATTCTAAGCATGTGATAAGCGCTTATAGCTCCAGTGTAAACCTAACTCCTCATCCGGCCCAGAACAGGAGGGATGGTGGAGGGATGTGTGCAGCTCTGAGCTGGCCTGGGTTCTAGAGTCAGGTGTAAGTGGGAGTGGACAGGGCTGATCTCTGGCTGGGGCTGGAGTCACCAGATCCCTGAGCAGCTTCCTAGATGAAGGCAAGCTGGAGACCAGAGGGGCTGCCCAGAGGCAAGACCCAGACCCAAAAGTGAGGGCCAGCATGGATGGCACAAGCAGTGACCAGGACCATGATCTGAGGGACCCATGGGCACTGTCCTCCACAGGCAAGTGGGCAGCCTTTGTGGGTGCAGGGCCAGTTGCACACTGAGCACGTTGGCAAATGTGCACCCCTGAGATTGGGCCAAGCCAGGGGCTTTCCCTGTTCTGGGAGTAGCAGTAGCTGCCACCTTTTCCAGCTCTACATGCCTTTTATGAAGAGTTTGGAGGTTTTCCCCCAGTTAAATCTCTTGGTTTTCCTTTGTGGGTTTTTTTTTCCACTCAAAGTTTCAAAACTATAGAAAAGGGATCCCTGGGTGGCGCAGCGGTTTGGCGCCTGCCTTTGGCCCAGGGCGCGATCCTGGAGACCCGGGATCGAATCCCACGTCGGGCTCCCGGTGCATGGAGCCTGCTTCTCCCTCTGCCTGTGTCTCTGCCTCTCTCTCGCTCTCTGTGTGACTATCATAAATAAATAAAAATTAAAAAAAACTATAGTACGGAATATAACAGACACCAATGTCAGAATTTATAGATGTTGACACCTGGTCATGTTCACTTCAGAAGTTTTCGATTCATGTAAAAGCAGGAAGACATTGCAACGACCTTCCCTCCTGAGTCAGAGTACTTTCTCTCCCTGCCCAGAAAATGCTGGCATGGCCGTGGGGGCTTCTTTGCAGTCCTTGTTTTCATATTTTTGAGACATCTAAACTCACACATGAATGCACCTACAGGCGCAAACATGCAGAAACGTGCACACGTGCACACACATGGAAATTGTAATCTATTTTTTAGCTTATCCACATTGGATACATATGGATCTAATTCATCTTTTTGGATTTCTCCATAAAGGATTCTAGCTCACAAATATCTCACAATTAGTTTGCCCACTTTCCGAATGATTTAAATTATTCCCAATTTTGTGCCATAACTGATGGTATCATAATGAACATCTTTATTCAGGCTCCCGGTGGTACCCAAGGGTATGTACCAGGAGTGGCATCTTGGCATCTTCAGAAATGCATTGTCTCAAATCCACACGTTTCTGCTCCCCACTCCTCCAAGGGGTTGGAGTAATTTACACCCCTGCCAGTGGGCATGAGATTTCCTGCTATTCATCATTTTATTCACTCTTGGGATTCTCACATTTTTTCCCCAAACTAATGGATAAAAAAAATTTTATTTCATTTTTACTAATTTGTATTTTCTAGGTAATCAGTGATGTTGAACACGTGATTGCATATTTTCATTGGCTATACATGTTCCCTCTTCTGTGAACAATATTGGTTTTGGGAGTAGAAACCAGTGATTCATCACCTACATCCAACACCCAGTGCTCATCATAACAAGTGCCCTCCTTTCTTATTGATTTTTATGTTGCTAATCCTCAATGTGGTATATGTATAGCAAACATCTCCCTGTCGGTTGCTTTTCTTCTTAAATTGTGTTTGAACACCACGGCAACGGCATAGTTCCTAACTGTGAAGCTGCATAAATTCTCCAAGGTGCATGCATTTGTGTCACGCCCGAGGTCAGAGCATTGCTGGGCCCTGAAGCCCCTTCATGCCATCCAATCACCGTCCACCGTCTGACCCGTTAATGAGCGGTCTGTTAATATCTTTCCTAACACTACACACCTTTACTCAGCAGGCGGACGTCCTCCTGGTGACGGAGTATTACTCTCCTAATGTATGGTGGATTCTATTTGCTGCTGACTCTCGTGAGGTTTTTGTACCTGTCTTAGAAAGGAGACTGGTCAGTGGTCTGGAGTTCTCCATCTCCTACTATCCATCAGGCTCAAGTATTCATGATGGACTGGCTCTGTAATAACTGCTTTTCAAATATGAGTTTGTTACTAGTCTTGGAAGCTGGGTTAGGGATAACAGAAGAAGCAAAGTAATAAGGTTCCAGTGAGGGCTTCTTGGTGGTCCATGAGGCTGCCTCAGGGTGTCAGGAGAGGGACGATGGGCCCCACTGGTCACTTGTGCTCTCTTCAAGCAGGGCTTAGACTCCCCAACACTTGTCATACCCTTAACAGTCTCTGCCCAGTGTTGCCCAAGGGCATCTCCAGGACCATTGGCTTTATGGGGTATTAATAGGTGTCATGTCACACTCCCGTATTAGGGTTTTCTAAAGAAACAAAACCAAGAGTGTGTGTGTGTGTATATATATATATATATATATATATTACAAGGAATTGGCTCATGCCATTCTAGAGGCTGAGAAGCCCCATGATCTACTACCTGCAAGCTGGAGCCCCAAGGAGAGATGGTGTCATTCTGTCATGTCCAAAGGCCTGAGAGCCAGGAGCTCTGAGAGTAGGAAAAGACCTGAAATCTCAGCTCAAGCAGTCAGGCAGGAAAGAAAAAGAGCTAATTCCTCCTTCCTCCATTTTTTTCTTCTATTTAGGCCCTCAACAGATTGGATCCTGACACACACTTACACACACACTTACACACACACACACACACACACACACACCGAGGAGGGCAGTCTCCTGAGACCACCAATTCAGACACTAATCTTATCCAGAAACACTCTCACAGACACACTC